TCCCTGGACCCACCCTAGCCCCATCCAACCTGGGCCCCTGGCAGTACCTCCCACCCCCATGCCCACCTTGCCCAGCCCTTCTCTGGGCCCTGGGCCCTGGGCCCCGGGCCCCATCCCCCATCCTGGTGTCCTCCCTGACCCCTATCCTGGTTTGGCAGCAATTCCACGAGGCGGCCTACCTGGCGGACGAGCGAGAGGACTTGCTGACTGCCATCAACGCCTTCCTGGACTGCAGCGTGGTGCTGCCACCCTCGGAAGTGCAGGGCGAGGAGCTGCTGCGTTCTGTTGCTCACTTCCAACGCCAGATGCTGAAGAAGCGGGAGGAGCAGGGCCGGCTGCTGCCCCCAGGGGCTGGGCTGGAGCCCAAGTCTGCCCAGGAAAAGGGTATGCTGTGGTGACTTGGGCCAGATGGGGCTGCCCAGGGCAGGGGTGGGTGGGCAGGCGCAGGACCCACAGCCACCCTGATGGAGGCCTGGTTTGCAGCACTCCTGCAGATGGTAGAGGTGGCGGGTGCAGCCGAAGACGATCCCCTGCGGCGGACAGGCCGGCCCTTTGGAGGGCTGATCCGTGATGTAAAGCGCCGCTACCCCCACTACCTGAGTGACTTCCGAGATGCACTTGACCCTCAGTGCCTGGCCGCTGTCATCTTCATCTACTTTGCAGCCCTGTCTCCAGCCATCACCTTTGGGGGGCTGCTGGGTAAGGGAAGGCTCTGGGGAGGGCCAGAGTGCACAGGGGCCAGCTGCTGAGCCTGTCCCTGCACCCTCAGGAGAGAAGACACATGACCTGATAGGGGTGTCAGAGCTCATCATGTCCACGGCGCTCCAGGGTGTGATCTTCTGCCTGCTAGGGGCTCAGCCGCTGCTGGTAATCGGCTTCTCTGGGCCGCTGCTGGTCTTTGAGGAGGCCTTCTACTCGGTAGGGCTCTTCTTTTTATTTTTGGTACTGGGGATCGAACTTGGGACCTTGTGCTTTCAAGGCAGGTGGTGGAACCACTGAGCTAAATCCCCGGCCATAGGTAGAGCTCTTCTTACCCTGCGTGGGCTGCCCGTCCTCTCCCTGTGTGGTCTCCCCATAGCCTTCTCCTCTTGTCCCCAGAGCCCTGACGGCTCCCTGACTCCCCTGTGTAGTTCTGCAGAAGCAACGAGCTGGAGTACCTGGTGGGCCGGGTGTGGATTGGCTTCTGGCTGGTGCTGCTGGCCCTGCTCATGGTGGCCCTGGAGGGGAGTTTCCTGGTGCGTTTTGTGTCCCGCTTCACCCAGGAGATCTTCGCCTTCCTCATCTCCCTTATCTTCATCTACGAGACCTTCTACAAACTGGTCAAGGTGTGGCGGCCCTGATAGGAATGGGGTGCAGGGCAGGGAGGGGGTCTCCTGTCTGTCTGGTGTCTTGTTTTCTGGGCTTGCAGTCTGTGGCCCACAGGGGTGGGACTTGTGTTTCCCCAGCCCTCCTTGGCCTCTCTGGTGTCAACATGCCTCCAGCTTTTTAGATCAATCTTTCAAAAACTCATAGATTTAGGCCCGGGGATTTAGCGCAGTGATTTCGCTGCCTGCTGCGCAAGCGCAAGGACCTGAGTTCAATCCCTGGTACCAAAAAAAAAACCTCATAGATTTTATAACAAAAGGAACCTGTGCAAATGTCAGACAATTGAGGAGTATGGAACGGGAAGGCCCTAGAGATGACAAATGCAGTCATGGTCTGGGATCAGACATGTGACAGGCTTTCGAGGTGCTGACCACAGTCCTCTGCTCACACCACCGTCCCCAGTGGCCTTCCTTGTCTTCGCCATCCCTTGGATCCTCTCTCACTCTCTCGTATATGGTACTTGGGGTACCAAGGACTAATATACCAGCTATATCTCTAGCCCTTTTTAAAATTTGTATTTTGAGACAGAGTCTTGCTAAGTCACTAAGTTACTGAGTGATCTTCCTGCCTCCCAGAGTACAGTACTGGACTTACATCCTTGGGCCCTCTTAATCTCGTGTAGCCCTGTGCTCACAACTGGCCCTCTGGGTTTTCCTTCCTTCCTTCCTGTCCTCTCTCCCTCCTCCCCTCTCTCCTCCCCTCCTTCTTTTCTTTTCTTTTGCAATATTGGGCATGGAACTTCGGGGTAAGCTAAGCAATGGCTTGTTCTATCCCTATATCCCTGGCTCAGGGTCTTTTTTTTTTTGAGACAAGGTCTCACTCTAGTTCAGGCTGGCCTTGAACTCACTATGTAGCCCAAACTGGCTTCAAACTCACAGTGATCCTTCTGCCTCAGCCTCCCAAGTGCTGGGATTACAGGCGTGCACCATCACACTTGGCTATCAGTCATTTTCTTTCTTTTTTGGGGGGGGGCAGGGTACCGGGGATCAAACTCGGGACCTCGCGCTTGCAAGGTAAGCACTGGAACCACTGAGCTAAATCCCCGGCCCCAGAGTCATTTTCTTAAAGCAAGGAGACAGAGCTGTTCAAAGGCAGGCTGGCCTCTCCCTGCCTGCCCAGTCTCCCAGCATCCAGCTGGGCCCAGCAGTTTTCCCTGCAGTCCAGCTCATGAAATCCTTTGTGGCCTTCTCTCAGATCTTCCAGGAGCACCCCCTCCATGGCTGCTTGGTCTCCAACAGCTCTGAGGCACAGGATGGCAGGAACACAACAGGGACTGAGGCAGCACCCACACTGGGGCCTAGCAACATGAGCTCAGCCGGGCAGGCAGCAGCGGGGAGACTCCGGGGCCAGCCCAACACGGCCCTGCTGTCACTGGTGCTCATGGCCGGCACCTTCTTCATTGCCTTCTTCCTTCGAAAATTCAAGAACAGCCGGTTCTTCCCTGGCCGAGTGCGTGGGTTTGCAGGCGAGAGGGAGCTGGGAACAAGAAGTGGGGTGGCTGGGACATGAGAGGCTATGTGCGGCAGGAGGCCTCTGAGCACCATCCTTGCCTCCTCAGATCCGGCGGGTGATCGGGGACTTTGGGGTGCCCATCGCCATCCTCATCATGGTGCTTGTGGATTACAGTATTGAGGACACCTACACACAGGTGGGCACTGCAGGGGGTAGGAGGGGAAGGCAGTGATGTCCAGTGCTGGGGTGATCCCACCACCTGGGTCTGGGGGTTCCACTCCAGCCCCAGCCAGAGGTGTCCCTAAGCCAGGCAGACACCAAGCCTTTTCCATGTCCTGTGACCCTTTGCTGTCTCTGGCCTGCAGAAGCTGAGCGTGCCCAGTGGATTCTCAGTGACAGCCCCCGACAAGCGGGGCTGGATCATCAACCCCTTGGGGGAGAAGAGCCCCTTCCCAGTGTGGATGATGGTCGCCAGCTTGCTGCCCGCCATCCTGGTCTTTATTCTCATCTTCATGGAGACACAGATCACCACGTGAGTAGCTCTAGGCTGAGGGGCTTGAGTCCCAGGCAGGCTCTGGAACAAGAATGGGAATCACTGCCACTGCTAGACAAGTACCTTGGGGACCTTGAATGCCAGGCTAGCTGAAGCTTATTTTGGAGGTTGCAGAAACTGTCAGTGACATTGGCCAGGCCAGAAGCAGGGACAGAGCACAGGCTGGGTGGTCTGGCAACCTGCAGGCTAAGGGCTGTGGGCATGGCTCAGCACCATGATAGAACTTAGTCCTGGTAGTGTGGTTGGGGGCCACCAGATTTCATAAGCAGATGGAGGGACTGTCCCCTCTCCCCTTCAGGCTGATCATCTCCAAAAAGGAGCGTATGCTACAGAAAGGCTCTGGCTTCCACCTGGACCTGCTGCTCATCGTGGCCATGGGTGGCATCTGTGCCCTCTTTGGCCTCCCCTGGTTGGCTGCTGCTACCGTCCGCTCCGTTACTCATGCCAATGCGCTCACTGTCATGAGCAAGGCCGTGGCGCCCGGGGATAAGCCCAAGATTCAGGAGGTCAAGGAGCAGCGGGTGACCGGGCTGCTGGTAGCCCTGCTCGTGGGTATGCTGCCCCTTGCTGCACCCATCCCAGGGGTCCCCAAGGCCACTGGGGATTGAATCCCAGGCTGTTTCTTCTCTCCCCTCCCAGGCCTCTCCTTGGTTATCGGGGATCTACTCCGGCAGATCCCCCTGGCCGTGCTCTTTGGGATTTTCCTGTACATGGGGGTGACCTCTCTGAACGGGATCCAATTCTATGAGCGGCTGCACCTGCTGCTCATGCCACCCAAACACCACCCAGACGTCACCTATGTCAAGAAGGTGAGTCTCCTCTGCTCCATCCTGCACACCTTCGATCAAATGCCCCTCCTACCCTGCCTCCACTTCCTATCTCTCAGCACAGAGTGGACTCTGGAAGCCCCTCAGGCACTTCTGTCCCCTTTTCTGAAGAGGAAGAGGGGCCCTCTGGTCCCAGTCCTCTGGATGTGGCTGGCTGGGGAGGAACCCAGGCCCACCTCGTCTCTGCCCCCCAGGTCCGCACGATGCGCATGCACCTGTTCACAGCCCTACAGCTGCTCTGCCTGGCCCTGCTCTGGGCTGTCATGTCCACGGCGGCCTCCTTGGCCTTCCCCTTCATCCTCATCCTCACAGTGCCGCTGCGCATGGTGGTGCTCAGCCGCATCTTCACAGAGCGAGAGATGAAATGCGTAAGGACCCCCACCCCATCCCCTGCCATCCCCCCAAACATCACCCTTCTCTCCTATGGCTCTGGAAAGGCCCAGCCTGCCCTTCCTCCCACAGCTGGATGCTAATGAGGCAGAACCTGTTTTCGATGAGCGCGAGGGTGTGGATGAGTACAACGAGATGCCCATGCCCGTGTAGCTGCCACCTGCAGGGACATCCCAGGCCGATGGGCAGAGAGAACGGGGGCTGGTGGGATGGGCCTCCCCTCCCCTTCCTTGTTTTTATTTAAGTGAATAATTTAAAGTCCCCTTCTCCCCACCTCTGCAGTAAAGTACTATGGCCCTCACCTAGCTCTGGCTTTGTTTCTGTGAGGGCAATGAATGGAAGGAAGTGGGGGGACCCAGCCCTGCTCCCCGTCCCCAGAAATGAGAGTTGCCATGGGCAAGAAAAAGGACTTTAATGAAAAACCAAAACATAAGGAGTCAAAGTGCAAACTGTCACCTCGCATAGGGGGACTGTCTTGAGCCCCGAATGCACCCTTCACCCCCCTTTGGGCCCCCAGCAGAGGCCCAAGGCCTGCAGCTTCTGCCTCAGGTAGCTCTCGAGCTGGAGCAGACCTCTCTGTGACTCCAGTTCCTCGAAGGGTAGCTGCAAGGAGAGAACAGTGGGTCACCTGCAGGCCAGACACAAGAACACACATACATGCACGTGGGGCACACAGGGCCGCTCACTGGCAGAAGCTGATAACCCGTGAGGCCCAGGTGCTGCTCTCTTAGGGCCCAGGAGCCAAGTAGCACCCTGCCATCTCGGCAGAAATGCCAGCGTTCACGAAGCATCAGCAGAACCCTGCAGGGGACAGACATGGTCTGGGTGCTGTTGTGACACCATGATGCCTAGGCATGCCCAGCCTGTTTCTTTACCTTTGGGGTTTTGGGTTGTGGGGTTAGAGGTAGCCTGGCCCTGCAGGCAGGACTTTGGTGGGTAAGGTAGAAAGGGGTCCTGGTTCCTCACGGAGCACAGCACCGGAGCTGCTCACACAGAGTAGGAAGTCTGCAGGCGACAGAGACCCGGGCCTTAGCTCAGCTCCCTCTCCAGAGCTGCCACCCACCCAGAGCTCACCTGTGCAGTAGCCTGGAGGCACGGTCAGGTTCTGGTGGTATTTCTCCTCCCCCAGCAGCTGCCGAAGCCCCTCAGCTACTATGTCCTTGTGACTGAGGGGAAAGGACACCAGTAGAAGGCCCGAGGGTCTCATTGGTCCCCCACTGAGCACCCACCCTGGGCAACACTCTGCTGCCTCAGGGCTTATTTTCCTTAATGGCTGCCAAGCACATCATCAGCTCCAGCTGTGCCCCTTCAGCCCAGGCCGCCCACCCACCTGTACTTGCAGCAGGCACGGTCAGTGATGAGGCTGTGGGAAGATGGGCACCTGTTGTCTCCGGGGAAGGCAGGGGCCCTGACATCCTGGGAGCTCCAACTCCACAGCTGTGTGGAGGAGGGAGAGGTAGCGTTGGACAATTAGAGCATGAGGGGTTCCTGTGGGGAGGCAGGGGCTGGAGACACAATGGGCCACCAACTCCAGGCACCCCATCCTTGGCTCCTGGGGCCCCTCCAGCCAGCCAGACTCTGCCTACCACTGATGTGATTAACGAAACCAGGGGAGAAGAAAAAGTGCAGGGCTCTGAAGGGCAGGCTCTGAAGTTGGCACAGTGACATCAAGATGTTGACTGTGGCCAGCGGTGCCACCCCAGCTTCCTGTGCCAGGATCCGCTCAAGGCAAGGCATAAACTGCTGCTCCAGGGGCAGGTAGTTCAGCTGCCCAAAGGGCAAGACCAGCTTCTGCACCACCTGTGAAGAGCAGCTTACGACTGGGGAGCAGCTCATGGGTCTCCCACAAGCTGCTGTGACCCAGGCTGGGAGCACTTTGGCCAAGGAAGAACAATGCTCTATCCTGGCCCACACACCCCAAGGTCAACAGTATAAACAGTGTCCTGAGCCACGTGTGACTCTTTACCAGAGCAGGCAGAGGGACACTGCTGTGTGTGTGTGGGTGGGGTGGCCTGAAGGCTGGGAGCAACGGAATGTGAAGCAACTAGGACAGTGCTGAGTGCTTTGGCAAACTGCAGAGCTCTAGGCATTGATACTGGTTTTGAGTGGGACAAGCCACAGAGGGTGTGAACAGAAGGCACCCCAGGGCATGACGCGGCGCAGCCCAACTGGAGAGTTGGCTGGACAAGGCTGGGCATGGCCAGGTCACTGAGCATGACTCTGAGGAACACAGGAGGGTGGGAGGTGCCCACCTTGTTTAGCTGGCTTTCCTGGACCACCAGGAAGCGGGCAATGGCTTCCAGAAGCTGGGGCTCCTGCAACCAGTGCCAGGCCCAGTGCTGCGCCAGGAGCACCATCACACGTGGTGTGAGTTCCTCAGGCCTTGCCTCTGGAGAACGGTCTATCACACAGGACCCACGGGCCAGACCTTCAGTGCGCCAGGCTGCACCTGAGCCCAGGAGACTTAGTCCCTGCCCCCACTCGCTTTTAACCCTCCAGCACCTGCAAGGCTACTATCAGATGCTGCCATGGGTACCGCAGGAACCGAGGGCTGCTCAAGGTAGCTTCTAGTTGTTGCCCACCTCGGAGGGCAGGGTGTAGAGGTGGAGGTGGCTTTGGAAGGAGGCGGAACCTTCGCTCCTGCTCCAGGACACAGACCAGGGGCCCATCTGGTGGAAAGCCTGGGGAGAGAGAGGGCCAAAGGTGGTGCTGGTGAGAGCTGTGCCATGCCTTTCTAATCATAAGGTGAGACTCCACCTTGCTCCTATTTCCTGAATGGGGAAGTGTACTAGCGTCCAAGTGGAAACACTGGAGAAATGTAAAACATGTGAACATGACATGTCAGAGCTGTTGATGGGGGGAAGCCTAATACAAAGATGGCAAGAAGGCTGTCATCTTATGCCACTTGTGAGAAAGTGCAGTGGCTTTCTAGAACAGTGTGTTAGAAGGAACTTGAGGTGGCATCCTAGGAAGCTGGAACAAATGCTGTTTGACTCATGATTCTGCTGTGGGTACATGTGCCATTCCTGGGCAAAAGTCTGAAAGACCGAGTCTGTCGGTGGCCTGGGGTCCTCTACTGTTCTCTATTCCTCTACTCTTCCCTAGACACCCACACCCCAAGCCGCTTTCCTCACCAAGTAGAACTGCAAGGTGCAGACACACTTGGATGGTGTGAACATCAAAGGAGTGGCAGTTTTGGATGATGAGCTGACTCAAGTCCTGCAGTGTGGCCTGATCCACAAGAGGGGGCTGAGGCTGAGATCCCAAGAGCTGGCCCAGCCGATGAAGTGCCACCAAGTAGTGGTGGGCGCACACCTTGGTGGGGTTCTGACCCAGCCAGTGCAGCAGCTCCCCAGGACTCTTTGCCTCTTCCAGAAGCCACTGCAGTCTTCTAACAGAGCCTGCATGGGGCCCTCCTCCAAGAGGCCTCTCTCCCCACTTGCTGGGCCCCAAATAGCAGGGCTGTACCGGCAGGATCAGCAGCAGGCCAGACAATCCAGCAGGGGAGGCCTGGGCAGAGAGCAGGACTTGGGTGATGGAGACCCTGAGGGGCAGCCCAGAAAAGAGAGTGAAATTTCCTCCAAAGGGGAGCAACGCTTGCTATCTTCTCCTTACCTCACTCCCTAGGAGGCAGGGCTTGGGATCAGAGCAACCTCTGTGACTGCACTGGTCCTACTCCCCATCCTGCCCCTCTTTCCCCCTTCCACTCCTGGAAACAGCAATCCTACTCCTGGAGGCTGCTCAGCAAAGCAATCCACATGCGTGAGCTCCTGTGATGCTTCGTCCACGTCGAGGAGTCCCAGGGGTGGTGTTACCTCATTTCACAGGTGGAGAAACCGAGGCCCAGAGCGGCGAAGAGATTAAGAGAAGCCTGAAGTCCCTCACTGGGTTAGTGGTTGCGCCCAGACAGGGGCCGACTGGCCCGAGGATGCGCCGTCCAGACCACCTCTTCTCCCGCAGGAGGCGGCGGCGGTGGCACGGAGGGCGGCACGCGGGCTCCCCAGACGGGCGAGTCCTGGGTCCCATACTGGGCGCTCCCACTTAACAGCTCTGTGACCTTGGGACAAGTGGCTTCGCCCCTCTGCCTAAGTATCCTCCCCAATGAAATGAGAACTCAGCGCCCACCCTGTGGGACGCACGCGGGTACCGAGCACGAGTGGGCCTGGGCCCCCACCCCCGGGGACGCCAGGAACCCTTGGCCACTGCCAACACCAGGTCCCGCCGCCCTCCCGCAGCCCGCCCCGCAGGCGCCACCCTACATGATTCCCCACGCCCCGCGCAGGTCGCTCCCTCAACTGGTCTCTGGGCCTAGGAGACAAGCTCCCCCTGCGGTCTCTTCATCGGCGGGCCCCAGGGTCCGCCATCTTCCCAGAAGCCCCCGACTGGCCGGCGCACACCAACCCCGGCGCAGCGCTGGGCCAGGGCAGACGTGGCTCCCGGCAGACGTCGCGAATCCGGGCACCTTGGCCCCGCCCCTCGCTTCCGGGAAGTGCGCGCAAACCGCGGGGGCGAAACCATGGGTGAGGGGCGGGGCCGTAGAACCCAAGGTTTCAGGATTTGGACCAGAACTCTGAAAGGTTGCACAGGGAGGCTGAGGAGCTGGATCCTGCTCTTCACCCCCTTTCTGCCCACCTCTAGCCCTACAGACACACACCGCCAGTGAAAACTTCACAGTTACTTTAATCTGCACGTGTTTCAGATCCCAGGTCCCTTCTCCAGCCTCCCACTGACTGTGGGTCCCCAAATCAGCTTCTTAGGGACTAGGGGTGGCTGCTCAGGAAGGACACTAAGAAGGGCCCAGGGTGGTGGCCCCGCTCTGCCCAGGACCAAGGCAGCGACAGCAGGTGCCTGATCCCGAGGAACTGACTATCAGCATGGGCTGGGGGGCAGCAGACCCGGAAGTCGGACCAGAGCTATGGCCGTGAAGGTCACGGTGCCGGGCCTCCGCCAGCCCCTGGAGTCCCCTTCGGCGCAAGGCTGGGCTCCAGGGCAGTGGGAAGAGACAGGCGGGTGAGGCCGGCCTGCGCAGGCAGCAGCGCCCACCGTGCTGTGGGGAGCGAAGTCCAGAGGGGCAGGCCACACTGCCCAGGGCCCGCGGAGGCACTACGGCCGGTACATGGCAAAGGCCAGGAGGCTGAGGAGCAGGGTGAAGCCGGCCAGGCCCAGGGTGGCGGTCAGGGGAAAGAAGGGCCGGTACTGGATCTGGCAGTACCAGAGCAAGAGCAGCAGAAGCAGCAGCAGGGGTAGCATCAGGCTGCCGATTTCCAGCCCGGAGGGGCCTGGCTCTGACCCTGGTGGGCAGGGGGGATGTTGGGAACCGACCCTCGTGGACACGTGGCAGTGGAGAACACAGTTGGGAGGAAGGTGAAGGCTGCCCAGCGTCTGGGTGTCGTCTCCTAGCAGTTGGCCTTGGTAGATGAGTCGCACCTGCTGCTCCCGGCCGGGAAACTGGGTCCTGAGGAGAGAGGGCCCTGGGTAAGAGAGCAGGCCTCAGGCAATCCTAGTCCTTACCCCGAACTATGCTCCCAGCCCTGGCCCTGCCTCCACATACCACCCTGGCTGTGGCCTCTGAGGGGCAGTCTGCCACAGGGGAATAAGGACAGCCTGTGATGTGGGGAACAGAAAAACAAGGGGGGTGTCCCAGGTATGTCGGGTGGCCCTTCTGCAGTCACTCCCATCCCATCCCTTAGCATTTCCTTCCCGCCCTCATGCCTGCTTACCTTTTCAAGGAGCCGATGGTGTCGTGGGGCCAGGCCCTGGCCACTTGCTCTGAGTCATTGAGGAATTTCAGCCTGAGCACTAGGGGTTCCTGGGGAGAGTCCGGGCCTGGTGGTGATGTTGCTGTGACTCCTGTGCCAGGTTCTGGTTGTGCGGCTTGACCTCTGTGTCTCAGGCCGGAGGTCTCCACCCCAGGTGCCTCCCCTCTGATGCTGTCAGTGGCTGCCATAGCTTCACTTGGCTGGGCTGGCGTTGGGGTCCCTGCTGGCTGGGGCAAGGTGTCCGTGCCCTCCGAGGTGTGTGTTGAGACCCAGGCGAGGGCCAGCACCAGAAGACAGGCGAGCACCGCAAAAAGCACAGTCACCTCATCACCTACCCCTTCAATCAAGGCCATGGCACCTGCCTTGCCTGTTGTGCTACCGAGCTAGGGAGGCACAAAGGACAGTGAGAGGCTGGCTCACAAGCTAGGAGCCCTCGAACCCTGGCAGGGCCCCAACCCCACTCCACCTCAGTTCTTCCACCATGTTAATTCTTCTGTCACCTTTCCCACCCCTGGATACAGACAGTTCTGACTCCCAAATTTGCCTTTTAGTGCTCCTTTCCATCACCAAATCTCAAGTCCTAACTTTGTAAGCCTGAGTTCCGGGTTCCTTTGTTGTTACTGTTGAGACAAGTTTTTTTTTTTGGTACTGGGGATACTTTTTTTTTTTGGTACTCGGGACCTTGGGATTTCAAGTCAGGTGACTGAACCACTGAGCTAAATCCCCGACAAGATCTTGATATGTAGTTCAGGGTGGTCTTGGACTCGGAGAGATCCTCCTGCCTCAGCCTCTCGAGTGCTGAGATTACTCAACCCTGGCTAAGTTCTAGGTCTGTAATCATCTCCCTAATTCACCCAAACCCTATCTCTATGTGAGGCCCTCGACATTCTAAGCAACCTCTCCCCTACATTTAATCCTCACCAAACTTCTTCCCAAGCTTACCTACACTTTCATCCACTTCATCACTTGAAGCTTGAAGCTTCCCCTCCAAGCTTCTCTAAGGCTCGGTCACTGAAGTTTCTCCAAGGGGCAGAGAAGAGGTCTCTCGGTCTCCTGCCCCACCCCTATACCGTGTACTCAAACCCCACGAGCGACATGGGGCTTCTCCCCAGAAACAAGTCGGCAAACTCCGCCCTTGGTCATCCGGAACCTCTGTGCGATGTCACCCACCCCTTCCCGATCCCCTCCAAACGGCCACCCATCACTCCCGCGGCCCCCTGATTCCGCGCCTCCTCCTCGGAGAGCCTCTCCAAAGCCAGCTGCCGACAGACTCTCGATCCCTCGAGGACCCGACCTGCGTTCTCCCCACCCCACCCCGCCGCCCCATCATCACGCCTCCCACCTCCCCCCCCCCCCCCCCCCCCCCCCCCCCCCCCCCCCCCCCGGGCCGCGGAAGGGTATGGGCGATCCCGGGGCGGGGCGAACGCAGGCACTCACCTCCCGGCCTGGCCAGCTCCATCGCGGCCCCTCGGGCACTTCCGGGCGGGAGACGCCGAGGTCGCAGACACCTGGGGCTCCGCTTCTTCCCGGTCGCCGTGGCCCGAGGCATTGTGGGACTTGTAGTCCGCCGCGCAGCCTGCACCGCGCAGACCCGCCTTGCTCCCTACGCACGCACGTGCGGAGTCTGCCAGGAGTTCCCGGTGCCTGCGGACCACGGAGTAGACTGCGCAGGCGGCTCTGGGGGCGGTGTTGTCCCGAGGAGGGCTGGGCCGCAGAGGATCCGCCCCCTCCGCCGCTGGCAGCCGGAGCATCAGTCACTCCAGACACCAACGTCAGCGGGAGCACGTCACAGCATTTATGTTCGTGATGCAGGGAGGGAGGCTCAATCCCGTGTGGCCCTATCCCGGCCTCCGCCGATGTCGAGGGGGAAGACAGAAGGCAACCTTGGCCCCCAGAGCTCAGGAGGTGTAGGCTGCATCACCAGTTAGCTGAGGACACCCATCCCCAAAGCTGTCCCCTCTCTCCGACCCCCTCCTTCATGTAGCCTCCGCAGGACTTTGAAAGACTCGTGGACAAGGGAACAGAGCACATATTATGAACCCCTTATGCTGTGCCTATAGGTACATGACCTCCGGTGGGCACTAAATCTCTCTCTGAACATAAATTTCTTCATTCCCAAAAGTAGTTCGTAAGCCAATTGTAAGGAAGTCATTCGACATTCAACATTAGATGACTTTTTTTTTTTGGATACAAGGTCTAACTAGTGAAAGCTGGCCTCAAACTCCCTATGTAGACCATGCTGGCCTCGAACTTGAGATCCCATTCTCCGGCCTGAGTGTCCAAAGTGCTGGGATTACAAGGCATGTGCTACCACGCCTGACAAAGCCGACATTTTATTAAATAAGTGTGAACACTATATAAAGTATGTGCCACTCAGTAGCTAGTATTCAAGCGCTCCCTCCACCCAAACCTAGGCTGGGAAATGGAGTTAAGAGTATTTGCTCTGTAAACAATGGTGAATCCTAGCAAGGCCTGTGACCACTAATCTCTGTGGATCTTCCTTCCTTTGAACTCCTGTAGCCACAGAAATTTCAAACCCTAGATTTTACAGGCCAGTCTTTATTGAAAAGGCTCTAGTATTCTCATAGCTCATGTCTGTGGGAGCAAGTGGCCCAAGTGTTGCCTTGGGAATGTCAGTTTAAATTTATAAAGTACAGAATTAAGGTATCTCTAGCCCTTTCCCTCCTGTTCCTTCATTTATGCTACAAACATTTATTAAATATACACATATTATATGGCTGGCACTTTACATGTACTATATGCTCCGAACCGTGCAAGATGCTGGGAACACCATAGTTTGTCAGGCCCTCTCCTTGCCTCTCCTGGCTCGTATACTAACAGAGGAAGGAGATACGTAGACAGCCTTTCAGTGCTGACTGGTACATGCTGGTACCTAGTACAGCTTCTTGCTGACAATTCTAATGAAGTTTCTAAAAGAGATGTTAAGTGTTGCTTTTCCAATTACAAAGCAGTGGAGTTAGGTTTTCTGTTCACCTACTAAATTTTGAAGATAGAGCCCAGAATCAGTACAAGTCATCCTTCTTTGGGTCATCCAGGTAGAAACCCAAACGTTGATTAGTTTGCATCTGGTCCTTTGGAAGGTAAGAGAAACAGGTATGGTGACCAGGTTGGTACTGGGGTGAAGTAGTTAGGTAGTGGAATAGTAGGCAACTTTCTGCTTGGCTTGGGAAGTGGAAATGTATGTAAAATGATGACGTAAAATGGTACTCAGAAGATAGCTGGGCATAGGCCTGGTGGATTTATTGGCAGGGGGCCACTGCTCTGCACAGGCCACATCTTTTGGGTTTTAGGAAATGTGCTGGGATGGTTAGCAGACAGCTTCAGCAATGGGAATGCAGAAGACTTGGGACATTGAAGGGAGCTCCCTGGCCATAGGAGTGGAAGGGCAGGATGGACAAAGGGGTGAGATAGAGGAAAATTATGGGAGCCATGTGACTGGTAAGTCTTTTGAAGGAGAAGGGCATGGGAGAAGGCATACTTGATTTCTCCCTGATCTTCCTCTATGTACCAGTGGTGTCAGGCAGGATTCAGTGACCCCCTCGCACCCCTGTCTGCCAAACAGGGTCTTTCCGGAGGGGCTGGTCACAAGAAGACAAGTGTGGGGTCATTGTTGGTTAAAAGTGTCATTTCCAGAAGCTCTCTAATGACGCTCTCAGGATGAAAAGGAAATAGCAGGCTGGGACCCATCTCCGCCTCAGTACTGTGGCCAGCAGTGGAGACCCGGGCTGAGAGCCAGGGAGAGAACCCGGGGGCGGGGTGGTCTTTAGGGCTGACCTCCGGGCCTGGGGACAGGGAAGCCAGGGCCGCCCTTAAGGCAGGACACTGTAAGCGAGGCTTAGTTGGGCCGGGTTCCTGGGCCAAACAGCCGCGTAAATCAGCAACCCAGGCGCGGTGCACCTTTCGGACGGTGCGCAGAGACCCGATACCCACCCAGGCCAGCGCAGGGAGGGGAAGGCGACAGCCGACCCCGGAGGGAGCCAGGGCAGTGGTCCCAGGCGGGTGGCCCTGGAGGGGGGGGGGGGGCGACGATCCGGCGGAAGGGCCGAAGCCGGGTGGGAGGGGCCGGGCGTCCGGGCAGCGCGTCGCCCGGGGGCGGAGGCTGCAGCGCCCCGGAGCGAGCGAGGGGCGGGGGAGCGGGGCCGGGCGCAGGCGGGGCGGGGGCGAGGGCGGCGGGGAGGGGGGCTAGGCTGCGTGTGCTGGAGCCGGCGGGGGCGGCGGTGCGTGCGCATGACGCGGGGGGAGGGCCCGGGCCGCGCGCTCCCGGTCCCGTTGTTGTTGCCGCTGGAGGCTGCGCTGAGGCAGTGGGATCGCGGTGCCGGGAAGGGCCCGGCGGCGGCCACAGCGTGTGCGGCGGCGCCTTCTGCCCTCGGCCTCCGGCCCCATGCACTAGCCCCGCGCCGCCCGCTCTGTAGTCCCGGCCCCGCCAGCCCTGCACGCCTGCTCGCCGCCGCCCCTGCGCCGTCCCGGGCCCGGCTCAGGCCCGCCTCGGGCCCCGCGGCTCCGGAGCCATGAACTTCCAGGCTGGCGGGGGACAGAGCCCGCAGCAGCAGCAGAGCCTGGCGGCTCCGGGGGGCGGCGGCGGCGGCGGCGGGGGTGCCGGTGGCAGCGGGCAGTTCGGGGGCTCGGGGCCGGGGGCGGGGGGCGGCGGCCCTTCGCAGCAGCTGGCCGGCGGGCCGCCCCAGCAGTTCGCGCTCTCCAACTCGGCGGCCATCCGCGCGGAGATCCAGCGTTTTGAGTCGGTGCATCCCAACATCTACGCCATCTACGATTTGATCGAGCGCATCGAGGATTTGGCGCTGCAGAACCAGATCCGGGAGCACGTCATCTCCATCGAGGGTGAGCGGAGCAGGGGACCGCGGGTTCTGGGGCGCGGTGGACTCTCCAGCGCCGGCCGGACCTCGTTCCCCGCGGCGGGGATTCCTCGCGTGCCCGAGGTCCCGGCCACGCGGTTTGCGGGTGTGCGCTGCAGAGCCCGCATCCAGGCCTCGCCATTTCTGGTCCAGGGACACTTTGGGGCTGGGGTGTTGGTCCAGAGCCAGGGGACACCTTTTCTGCGGGTCGTGCTCCAGGGTGCGAGGGTAGTGTCGCTCCTGGGACCGCTGGTCTGGGAGTCGCAGAGGTTCCGAGGTCCGGGGCCAAGTCTGGTGAGGCATGGCTGGGGAAGGTGGGGAAGGTGGGGAAGCTGGGTATAGAGGGCCTCAGCGGGCCAGGAGGTGGGGCCCAGGCTTCGGAGGCTTCCTATCTGTTGCCCCATGGTGAGGCGGGTGATTGGAGCCTCCGTTAATGGATGGCAGCCTTCCTGGGCCGGCGCCCTCTCTCGACACACACACCCCCACGCCGCGGGGGGGGGGGGGGCTGGGCACTGCGACCCGGTGGGAGGCGTCAGCTGGTCCCTAGGGCCCTGGGCCGGGTCCCCAAGCTTGGGGCATCCGCGCCTGCTCACTCCTGGGGCATGCGCAGGGCTGCTGCCGACTGACCTCCAGGGACTCTGTGCTTGGCATCCCAACCGGAAACCCCAGGCCACTGCTGTGCACAGGGCTCCATTCTGTGGTCTTTTGGGTCTTGGACTAGTGGCTGCTGGCAGATGCCCCAGGACCTCAGGTGTGGTGGTGGTGGGGCCTTGCTGTCCTACAGGCACCCGGGTGGCATGGTGACCTTCCAGCGAGCTGGGGCAGATGGGCCTCACCCTGGGCCATCTGCTGCTCCTGCCTCTGACCCGGTTTGAAGTGAATGCCCACCCGCAGGTGGTGGCATTGGCCTTTGAAATCATGCCGGAGAGCCAAGGCTGGTTGCTGATGACATGGGCTTGTGGGCTGGGGTCTGTCCACTATTTGGTCTTATAGTTAGGGCTGAATTCCCATCTGCACCTTCTTGAATGAGGCTCTGGGGGTTCCTGCACCTGAGCTCCCTAATTCTGCTTTTAGAGGTTCCCATAGCTGGAGAAGGTGTATTGGGTCTTTTAGAGGTGGATTCAAGAGCCCCATTTAGAGCTAAGCCCTGTCCTTTGTTGTAATATTCTCTTAGTCTGCTTCTTTCTTTTTCCCAGCCTGCTCCTATACCTTTCCTCTCTAGGCTGAGTTCACTGTGAACTAATTAGGTGATAGAAAAAACTCATTAACATGGATCTGAGTAAATGGCCTGAAACGTGCTGTGGCTAGAGACTGGAAGATGGCATTTTTGCAAGCCCAGGGCCCCAAAGAAAGGAGATGACCAATTTTTCATCCTGGATCTGAAGCGGGTAGGAGGGGAGAAACACCTTCCCCAGCTTAGGTGTCCCCTGGAGGAAGTACAAAGTTCTTGATCAACTGAAGGATGGAATTTCTTCTTTTTTTGTTTTTGTTTTTGTTTTTGTTATGAGACAGGGTCTCACTATGTAGCTTAGGCTGGCCCAGGCTACAGACTCTCAGCAATCCTCCTATGATCCTCTTGAGAACTGGGATTTCAGGGGTGGACCACCACGCCTGCCTGCAGGATAGAACTTGGACTCCAAAATGACTCCCCTAGCCCTTTGGTTTTTTGTTTTGTGTTTTGTTTTTTGGTGCCGGGGATTGAACTCAGGACCTTGGCGCTTGTGAGGCAGGCAGCAGAACCACTAAGCTAAATCCCCAGCCCATCCCTAGCCCTTTGGGAGGTAGAGAGACTTGATGGGCAGGCAGGGCATGTGGGGAGGGTCCTCTGCCCACAGCAGGGAGGCCAGGTTCAGTGGCCGTACATCCAGCTCCGCCTTCCTGAGTGGTAGGCCTAGCTGGGGTCAGAGATTTCCAGTTGGACATCTTCTGTATTGACAAGGCCATGATCCTAGGATGCACTTTTTTTTAAACCTCAGTCTTTTTTTTTAGTACCAGGGATCCAACTCGGTCAGGTCCTTGTGCTTTCAAGACAGGTGGTGTAACCACTGAGCTAAATCCCCAGCCCCGGCCGGCTGTTTTTTTGGTTTTTTGGACCAGGGATTGAACTCAGGTCCTTGAGTTTGCGCAGCAGGCGGCGAAACCACTGAGCTAAATCCCCAACCTAAACCTCAGTCTTAAATTCAACATGACAGTCAGAATTTCCCTCCATAGGGCCCTCCCCTGTGACCAGCTTCCCCATTGTGGTTTGGAAATAACCCTCCATTCCATCTGCTTAGGCTGGAAGCTTGCTATTGCCATCTCCAAATCCTGGGACCCGATGTCTCATTGTCACCAGACCAACCCAGCTGCTGCTCACCCTTCAATCCCCTCCCCATCTCTGCTGCCCTGCTCTCTGGGGAGACCCGGCTCCTTCTTACCTTCTTTCTTCTTCTTGGGCTCTCCAGGAACCCATCTTTGTTACCCCAACCCCACTGGCTTTCGCATTTCTGTCACCCCAGCTTTTCCGCTGTAAGCAGGTTTAAAAAAAAAAATCCCCCAGACTCCTCTAATTTCAGTCCTGTATGCTTCCTGCCATAGAACTCTCTCCATCTGCTGAACCATATTGCCTCTGTCCTGCAAGGCAGCATCCCTACCTTTCTTAGAGGAGGGAGACAGCAGCTCCTCAGGGCGTGGCTGTGGTTCCTCTCCTGGATTGAGCTTCCTGGCACTGCCGCCAGCAGACTTGAGCCTTTATATAAAGTCAGCCAGGGAGCCTGTTTTTTTTCGGGGGGTGAGGCTCTTCTCAGAAAGCAGCGACGTTTCAGAGTGTACCAGAGGTCTTGCCTTGATCCCATTAATGCTTTGGTGAAGGGTTTGTCCTAGCTTCAGGTGACAGTCAGGACGACTGACACTGAAGAAGCTCTGTGGGCACCTTACCTCCTGTCCTGTCCTCTCTCTGCTACTCTCAGTCCCCCAGTCCCCAGCCAAGGCAGGAGGAAGCAGGAGACCGAGTGGCTTTCCTGTGTTTCAGCATAGGATTTGAGAATGGACAGAACATTTTGCTCCATTCCAAGAGAAAACTTGGGCTCAGGAGCCAATGCAGGGGGCTGGACCTTAGAGTCATCCTGTGCCACGGTGGAGGCCGATAGTGACACAGGCTCAGAGAAAGGAGGGATCCAAGCAGACACAGCTGGGGAGACCCCAGTGCCTTAGTTCTCCTCTGTACTATCTCACCCCCAGGAAGAGGAAGGAACTCCCCTACCTTGTGGGGGTCTCCTGGCTGTGTCCTAGAAAAAGAGGCATAGGGGTACTGGGGCTACAGTCCAGATTGGGGACACTGGGCTAAGCCAGCTAGGACCCCAAAGATGCTGTTGGAAAGAGGACCCCAAGGTCCCTGCAGGTATTGGCCTGGGGGTGTCCAGCCCAGGGCATCACAGGCAGGAAGGCCCTGCAGCTCAGCTTTGCATTTCTGGCCTGGGCTCTAGGCCTGGAAGTGGACCGTGACTACGTGTGGATGCCATATGGCCACCATTGTGTTTTGGGAACCGGGCTGTGTCAGCAATGACTTGTTCAGTTTCCCCTTTGTTTCCTCCTAGAGTTTGTGTGTGTGTGTGTGTGTGCGTGTGTGTGTGTGTGTGTGTGTGTTTTAAGAGAGTGAAGTTCCTTTGCGCATTCCAGACAGCCCCACTGGATTTTCCACTGCCTTACTCATTTGGGCCTAAAGGGACCAAGGCTTCTTTTTAGCCTAGGCAGGAAAGGGGGATGAGCTGGGGGCAGGTGTGTTGGGGGAGGCAGGGGGCAGCAGTAAGAGGTCCCAAACTCAGTGCTCACACCCATCCTGACCAGCCCCGAGCCCACCTTGGGTGTTGCACTCTGCCTTACACTTCTTCTCTCTCTTTTTTTTTTTGGTACCGGGGATTGAACTCGGGTCCTTGCGCTTGCACAGCAGGTGGCGGAAACCACTGAGCTAAATCCCCAGCCCCCTACATTTCTTATTTATCTGATGACTGGTCTCACAACATCCCTGTGATATGGAAGGGATAAGGATGGTGGGTCTATTTTTTAAATTATTATTTTGTTTTTTTGAGACAGGGTCACACTATGTTGTTCAGGCGGGCCTGGAACTCCCTCCCAGCAGTCCTCTTGCCTCAGCCTCCTGAGTGCTGGGAGCACAGGTGTGTGCATGCACCACCACACCCGGATTGATGGTTCTATTTAGAGACAGAAAAAGTCTCCTGAGCCAACTTGTCTAGTTTACCATGATCTTCCCCTGTGGGACCTGCTGCCCTGTACTCTGCCCAGGCCTGACTGCCCCAAGGTCTCCTACTGGGGAGGTCTGGGGTGGGCCAGCCCCTGCACCTGTCACTCCCAGGACCCTCCTGCAGTTAGCTATTTAGGGCCAATGCCTGGTGGGGGTGTAGCTGCTTGTGTAGGACTTAGCACACAAGGGTTCTAGGAATTCTGAAAGAGGAGAGCCGTGTGGGTGCTGGTAGGCAGGGGAAGCCGCCTTCGTTCCAGATCCATTTATTTAGCTCCTACTGTGTGGCCCAGTTGCATCTGGTACCACAGAGAGTTGGAGAGCAGAGGGCCAGGAGGGGGATGGAGACAGAGGAAGGGCTAGGTTGGGCTCAGCCAGCAGGAGGTGCCAGGGGCACTGGGAGTGGTGGCAGTAACGCTTGATTTTCAGGGCAAAGCTCAGAGGCCTGGAAAAACTTAGCAAGTTCCCTGCCCTTGAGCTCAGAAGTGGAGATGGTCTGGTGGCCCCAGCTTATCTCAAGTCGCATGTCCTGGGGGTCAGTGAGATGGAAAATCTCCCTCATTCCATTCATCATTGGGCGATGAGGCCCAGAGTGAAACAGTCCTTGTCCCTAGGTACCAAGACTACCAGGCAGGAGGGGAGGGCATGGAAACGATGAGTGGTGCTCAAGGTGCAGGGCGTTGGTCAACGCAGCTGGCCTGTGTGTGTCTGGAGGGGACAGGCAGGTACAGTGGGCAAGACCCTGAAGA